TTATAATAATCATGTTTTGAAATGAATTGAAAAATCAATCTGGTAGCTATGGTTTACATGTATAATGGTGCATCTGACAATTAGCTTTTCCATGATATAATGATAAATATTTTTATCATTATCCATAATAAAGGTGATATTTTATGTCTTTGGAATTGTATTGTTGAAAACCAGTTGTTTAAAATATTTCCAGACATTAAACATCTTTTGATACTTTCTAATCTAAACATTTTATCTCTAGAAATGATTTACATTTAACTGAATTCAAATCAAATTGTGTTTCCTGAAATTTATAACCTTTCTATATATAAAAAAATCATAAGAATTAAGTACTTGAAATGAATAAGGTGCTATGCTAATTAATTTTTTTTATTAATGTCAAAAAACTGACCTGATTCACTTAAAATAGTGTCCGATGTCAACAAATGGTAACAATCTATGAGAAAAAATGTACAGGTTTAAATTTTTGCGGATACCCGAGCACAAGGGTTTTTAGTTCTATGCTCGAACCTTTTGACAACAAGTCATGTAACCGATAACATCATCAGTACTCGTTTACAATTCTTACGTTTTCCTTACAAATTAAAATATATCACCTATGGGCTGTAATTTTGATCTTAATTAGGTAAACACGGTAATGTATTTCAACAGAAATAACTGATGCATGTATATACTTGTATATTTGTAGAGTCTTTAAATCAAATTTTCGGAGTCATTTACAATGAAATTCTGGCCAACAATCGAAGAGCTTTACTCTGACGTCATATTCCCTAAATTAGGGTTATGCAAAATATCAGACACTTTTAAGTACTCTTTGGAATAGTCAAAAAACTAAAGCGCATATTGCATGGATCAAAAGTATATAAATACTCAGTTATCCTTAATTTTTAAAGTAATTATAGTTAGTTATGAAACTCAACATAAAAAATGTTTTAATTTATTGTAAAAAAATAAATATATTTTTAACTACTTTTCTTATTTTCTCTAAAGACATAAATTTGTGTGTACACTAGGATAACCCGCAAAATCACATAACTACTACTTGTATTTCAAATCCCATACAAAAATTGACTGCAAATAGTCATTTAAATTTTCGTCAACTGAATGCTCGAAAACAAATGACCACTAAAAGTTGATGCCTTCCTGAAAAGCTGTCAAATTATTAAAAAAAACGTTGACCATGAATAGACTGCTATTCTTGTTTACCATTAGTTGAAAGTTAATACATGTACTTTTAAAAATTCATGTGAAAAAAGTTATCCATTGATGAACAATCCGACTCTGTAAAATCTTTAGGAGTTGACTATACATAGTTGACAACTCAATGTTAGAAAATCTCTGCTACTCTGTATTTAATGGTTTTAAAATGACGTTATTATAGATCAAGTTTTCCGTAAGTATGTCGTCGCCCTCGCATGACACAGTGATAAGAGCTTCTGCTCTAGAGTTGCGATGTAAATTGACTCTTATATCGCGCATTCGAATCTACTGTGGGTGTTGGAGACCGGTCCTTCGGTTGAAACTTCCCGTGTCGCATTAAGTGATGGCATAATAAAGACCCTCACTGCTCAATGGCTCTGAATGTCGAGTATAGCAAAAAAAATTGTAGCTCTCCACCGGCAATTGCAAGATGTGGTGTCTCCATATTTGTGAAAGATTCTCGAGAAAGATGTTCAACAATGTACATGCATGACTTGTACAACTGTACAAACAAACAAAAAAGTAACGTCTGTTGGTTTATGTTTTGTTAGAAAGTAGAGAACTTTGAATTGTAACAATTGTTTTTAAGAATGATGAAACATATGAAAAAATCGGATAACTTCCCTTTGAAAAGGAATTAAAACTAAATTTCATAAAATAATTTGTTTCAAAAAATGTGATGCTATTGTTCCCAAAATGTATGTCTTTTGTCCCCTTTTTTGACTTAATTTTTTATAGATTTCATGAGACTTGTTGTCTTCGTTATCATTTTTTTTACATTTTTTTAATCTGTATATATTTTATTTTTATTTTTTTGCAAGATAAGGTGTACAAGTATCTTACAAAAATGGTTCCAAATGCATATGGTTGCTATGTTTATAAATTTATATATTATGAAGTATCTCTACCTATTGTTATTGATTTAAATGTATTTTTAAGATTTATAGCTTAAATATATTTCTACTCAAAATTAGTCGTCAAATATATTACATTCATTTGATTCGCAATGTTCATTGTATGTACAATTTCTAAAACGAGCAAAGTTATTTACAAACAAGTTGATGAAATAAGAATATTAGTAGTCTCTTTTAAGATTCATTTCGTAAGTTCTATGGTCTATACAATGAAAATGAAAGCAAATGCAATTTCTCATTCAAGCAAATGCTGACTGACGTTTTTTATACGAATTGTTGGGCCGTTATATAGATTCACTAAACTGTTGATGGATTTTTCAGCTATTCCCCCAAACATGACAAATGCATGTAGCATACAGCGCGTGTGACTGGTAGGCAGGGGATGCTAACTCCTCAATGTCATCTCCTGACTCTGACATTTTGGAGGTCCATTTTTCGTCTGTTCTAATATCATTTTGTTTCATTGGTTTAAGTAGGAGTACTATTCGTTACCTTCATATATCTCATTCAGCTTGTATGGTAAAAATAAGTATAAAATATTGAGATTTTCCTTTTTTCTTAAAGGAATTAGAAATACATTTTACTATAGCTAGTATAGATCCCTGGAATTGTGTACTAGCTTGTTGAAATAATAAAAATAAATCTGATAACTTGTAGTAAATCAAGTTTTTGTTTTGTTTCTTGTTGAATTATAAAAAAGAAACACGCAATTGCTTTAGACTAAATCAACCTTTTCTGCATAGAAAATGAAGGAGGCACGGCAAAGTGTGCCAGTTTAATGTTTGTGTTGTTTTCAGTGTGTGTTGATGCATTTGCATGTATGTATAGATACAATGTATACTGTAATATAACATATTTTCGTGGTGTCATATTTTTAAGGTTTTAGGAACACTATGATTTAATTTTGATTTGATTTCGTGGCTGGAAAATGTTTATTAGCAATGATTATAAAATTTCACATTTTGTGGTGATCATAAATTCATAGTTTATTTCCATACCTCGAACACAACAAAAATCAAAACAACACGAAAAAAACGTTTTTAGTGATTTCACGGTATATCATTTAGTAGCCCCATTGCTTTGACTCTTCCTTCTCTTAAACACATTAAATCTTAAAAAAAAAAGTTTTCTAAGAACACTACATGCTAGTCTTAGGTTTTTTAAAGCTCCCTCCATTTCTTAGGAAATGCAGTATTCAACTGCAAAGAAAACAGAGTATTCAACTTTTGGTCAACTACTAAGGGAATTGAGCTGTTTTAACTAAAGGTCAACTGCAAAGAATATATAACTGTGTGCAGATGAGCTGATTGTTCCCTTATTTCGATGGCAAAAAGTCGACTAAGGGTCAATTTACAGTGTATTGATCCTCAACACACCGTCAATCGAATTTGTACTGCGATTGAATTCTAATAGTAGTGAGTTTAGATAAAAAGACAAAGATTAAATCATTAAGGTTGTACTACAGAGTAAAGTAGATCATTCTTTTCTTTTCATCTTAAGAATCTGATTGGACAGATCTTTGAGAAATAATTGTTTATCATTTTGAATGGCTGTCACTTTGATTTTGTCACCTGTAGGAACAGCCAAATCATACCCGTTGTATTTCGATTTTGATTCTTTCATATTCTCTAGGTTTTGTTGACTAAATCTGTCCTGTATGTTCTCTGCTTGATTTTGAAGACTTTTTTCCGAATTAGCCAAATTTTTCTGTATTTCTACGTAAGTGTCTCTTTCACTATATGGGTCACTTGTGACGTTTTCAATGGAATTCCGTACGTCAGTTAAAGATGTTGAAAATAGGTTGGAAGGTCTTAAATATAGCAAAGATGTTTCACTGTAAGATCTTGAAACTGGTGATTTTTGATTGAGTGAATACCGTCTTTCTGATGAAGATCTTTTTGCATGATAACTATCCATACAATAGTCTGACATTTGCATTGTGGATGGTGTAAACGTTTTATCTTTTGCAATTTCCATTCCACAACTTCCAATTAAGAGTGATTTGCCTCCTGTATTGAGGCTGGATTCATTTGAAGAAGAATATGGAGTACCAATGTCGAACTTTTCCTTAGCCCTGTCTTGCATTTCCATTTTGTTCTCTTCATGAGTATTTCTCAATGACGAATCTGAAACAAAATTGCTTATGTAATAATTATGCATAAACATATGATAAATAACATATAAGAAAAGCCGAAGTCGCTGTCTTAAAGCACTAAAATATTTTACTTTAAATACTCACCGTTTGAATCTTGAACATTTTGACGAAAATGGTGCATCATAAAAATAGAAAATAGCAAAATTTTACGATAGTGTTTCATTTATTAACTTACATTATTATTCTCATCTTTGTTTAAGTTATAATAAGAAATATAGTAAATTACATCTCTAATGAAACAGACTTACTTTTTTGCAATGGTGTAGCTTATTCCAACTACTGTGAAAACAGCAAGGAGAACGCCAAATGACAATGCGAGTTGAGAGAATATACTTTTCTTATCCATCTCCTCACCTATTTAAGATAGCAAGAAATAAATGTAAACATTTGTTTTTTAAATATTCAAAATGATATACTCAATATGCACGCTCCCCGATAAAAAATATTATATGTTTATGTTCATTATCAAAGTTTTTGAAAGTTTAAAACCCATATCTAAATGATATTTATTACTTTTTTTTCATTATGTTTAAAAAGAATTGTTTGTCGCCTCAGGAAAATACATTTAACATATTACACATATGCAATAATACGTATATCTGTCATGTTTGAAATTTCAAAAGTTTTCTGGGTGAGAGTACATGCAAACTTTAGAGCATGACAACTGCCTGGTAAATTCAAAATTTAGAACAAGACATAGGTATAAATAAGTATATTGCGTACTTATACATCCTTTTTCTGTGTCACAGGTCTCATCAGAGGCACAGTTACATATCTCCAAACAAAGTCTTCCATAATAATTTATTGGACATTTCTTAGAGCAATTGTTCTGATAGCTCCCCGAAGGACATTCTTCCAAAGAAAGGAAATAATGCAATGTTAAAAATTAATGGGTGGTTTTTTCTTATATTTTACAATCAGCTTGCATCTATCCTTTTATATTAACTACATGTAATACTAATACTAATTCGTCGTCTGCGTGGCATAGTGATGTAATCATTTGCTCTTGAGTCGCAGGTCACCCGCATCCTTAATTACGTCGTGGATTCGAATCCCACTTTTGGATGTGGACACCGGTTTTTTCGGATAAGACCGTAAAAACAAGCCCCGTGTCGCAGTAGCGGACAGCATTAAAAAGATCCCTCCTTGCTCAATGGCCTGAGTGCCGAGTATAGGACTTAATTTGCATCTCTACACCGGCAAGTGGTGGTGTGTCAATATGAGTCAAAAGATTCTCGAGAGGGACGTTAAAAAACAATCAATCAATCTAAAGTCGCAGAGTTCATACGTAGTCAAGAGTCTGAATCCAACTGCGGGACATGGAAATCGGTCTTTCGGATGAGACCGTAAAAACTATATTCCATGTTGCAGTAGGTCATGGCATTTAAAATCATTCACTACTCAATGGCTCTAAATGTCGAGTACAGGTCTAGATTTGCTGTCGTTCACTGGGAAAACTGGAGTTATGTCCAAGACACGATGTAGTTACGATATCGACACATTGCTTTTTTGTAGTTTACTAAAATATTTCTCTATCCTTGTGTGTTTTAGCACAATACTTTCTGTTTTAAGAAGACTTCCTTACTGTTAATATCCACGATATCGTGCCGATATCTGATCATGATTGTTCAAAGAATTATGGTTTTCATCTACAATACTAGCATTGTATTAAGATGTGTTTCTTGAAAACTATCTTTTATAAAACTTTCCCTGTAGTGTCGATAGTAGCTTCGATATCGAATCACATTTGCTCAGCTCTTTGTAAATACCGTCCCTGTTACTGTTTATGTGTATTTATGTTTAATTACTTGACTTTTACGAAGATTATAACTGCCATCGATCTCGTCGATATCGACAATATCGTATCGATATCGAATCATACTTGTTAAAATATATTACTTCACCAACCTTCACCGTAATACACAATCTTTATTTTTGACATATCCCATGACAATAAGTTCTGTTTCTTCATGCAACGCTTGTGCATATTTACTTTCTGATTAATTAGTTTACCCTTCTGTCGATATCGACGATATCGTATCGATTTCGAATCATGATTGTTAAAACATATTCAACATTTTTCACCCTCACCGAACATCTTACTCCAAACCTAATCCAAAACAAAAACAACCACTAACCCTTTCCTTACCATGATTTAATTTTATATTCAAGCTAATAATGAATGAATTTGACATCACTCGTGACATTGTAGAAATTATGTTATACCTCATTGTGAAAATAAATTCTACAAATAGGATCGATATCGATACGATATCGTCATAGTATTGTCAATATCGACGATATTGACATAGCACAAAGTCTCATATACGGTATCAAGTATTTCAAATTAATAGTACTCATCAAGATCGATATCGATTCGATATCGACATAATATTGTCGATATCGACGATATCAACATCGAATTCGTTCTTGAACATGTATGGAAAACTGCTGCTTGATGTAAGTGAAAAAATCTCCAATTAAAGTCTTCACGGATGGATAGGTGCATCTTGCTTTTAATATTCTATTCCTTAATGATACTTTTTAATAGCCATTCTCTGTAACCACTTGAACTTCGTTGCCACGCATGATCACCGATTTAGATGAAACTTCACCCATGCTTAGTACTTGACATCAGAAACAAACATCAAACAAAATTTCGTTGCTAAGTGTCTCGGTTGCTATGGTAACAGCCGGAAAAGTTTGAAAAATCGAGATTTTCAGCGACTTTAAATCTTGACTGTGGCTTAATAAAAACTAGAAAAAGCAAACAAACCATTCTCACAAAAATATGACACCTTGATGTCACTTATACTGTAAAGAAACTGTTTCGAATATATCTCTAAGTAAGTGGTAACCAAGGGTACATTTGGAATACATTTAAAATGCTGAAATATGCTGAAAAACACTCCGTATTCACTAATGGTAGGTGTTACATGCTCAAACTCAATCAACGACTTAAGAAAAACAATGAAAATGTTTGACCTTAAGTATATAAGTATAAGCAATATTATTCTATAAATAACTTTTATGGTTGCCATGGTAACACAGTGTAACCATGCAAAACCAGTAACTAAGATTGGGTTAATGCTGCTGTCTTGAGGAAAAACATGAAAATTCAAGACTGGCAAATATGCATCCTTAGGACCTTGCATCACCAAAACCAGAAGAAAATTGTTTATAATTGCTACTTTGCAGTGTTACCATGGAATCAAAGTAACAGTGTTTAAAAGTGAATTATTTTTCGCCGCATTAAGAATTAAATTGCCATATAATCAAGAAACAAATTAAAAGACTCAGTTTGAATAGTACTTATCTGTTAGAACTGAAGTTGAATATCATATATTGATAAAATTTGATGAAGAAAACAACACTGTTGCTATGGTTACCAAGAAGGGAAAATGTTCGATTTTGTGAACTTTAGATCAATATTAAACCCTGTGTGCCAACTTCTTGCATCCACTTAGAGATTGGATGATAGTCAAAATTAAAAGTCAGGTTAGCTGTTAATAAATATCAATCATAAAAGTTTTGGGAATCTACATTTAAGGGTACGTATCCAAGGAAAGAAAATATTTTTCAGGTTTTTAAGCATATATTTTCTGCTTATTTCCATAGCAACGCTCTGTTTAAAGAATCTAATCTGAATATTTTCATATGGGAAAACTAGGGGCACACCAACATTTTTAAAAATTGATCATTAGTTATGAGGAAATGTGCTTTTTTAAAAGATAGGATCAGATTTAAACATACAGAGTGTTACTTTGAAGGCTCTCTGTGGTATAAAAACCTTGGCAACCATTGCCAACCAAAATGAAATATCATATTTTGTTCTTGGTATATGTTTCAAGGCTCTTTTTTCTATTATTTGGTCACATTTCATCCTATAATTGCTTTTTATTTTTACGTGTATGACTTTATAAAATTCAATGAATATTTTTTTTTACTTTTCAATACTTTGTTACCATAGTAACGTATGTAATAGTTGATTTACCAAACATGGTTATCATGCATTTGAGACATCTGACCTTCAATTTTTGGAAACAGTCATTTCCAATTGTTTGCTTTGCCGCAAATGTTAACTATGGGGCTCTAAACATGTTAAAAAATGCCATTTTTCGAACTCTAAGATATGTTGCCATGGTAACTATAAAGCATAGCAACCAATTTTCGCCTGATTTCAGCTTAGGGTATCAAGGACTTTCATAATAGAGAGTTTGGAGAAATTCTGAGACTATGCGTGCCACAGCTCCTATATAAAATTTCAAATCATTACAGAGAATGGCTCTTAAATACTTTTAGATAAACTTCTAGAAGATAGTCATGTTAAGTGAGATATCCATCATAAACACGCATCCACTTGAACAGGTTTCCTTATTTATTTCAAGATTTATCGTTTTAAAATTAGATTTCGTTGAATTGTGTTGGTTCGAAAAATGCAAACAGGTGTTTTCTTTAATATTTATAAAGTATATGATTTTAACAGGAAAAACAAATACATATGTGTATTTATGTATATAAAGGAATTTATGTGATCTAAATGCGTAATAAATTGCATATTTTTATTAATCACCAATTTCTTTGAATTCATGGGTACCGAAGGGTTTTTCCGGGTTTTATACTTAATCGTCCTCTAGTAACAGCTATTAGCCTTATCCTTATCAAAATAACATTGGGCTCCAAAAGGTGGTTTAATTTTACCCACCACCACCACCCCTTCAATCCTCAATAATTATTGTTATTGTAGAAAATACATGTACTAGTTTCTTTTATATAAGGTGCCCTTTGTTGTTGCAGAACTGTTGTTATTGTAGAAAATAGATGAACTAGTTTCTTTTGTATAAGGTACTTATTGTTAATTTTGTAGAAAATATATGTACGAGTTTTCTTTTGGATAAGGTGTGGGATATTTTTGGGCCCCACCTACTGCTGCATTCTGAAATTGTAAAAACTGTGATCTCATTTGGCATTTGTAATAAATGCTCTATACACACACACGCCCTCTTTATTATTTAACAGGCTGCAGAACAGAACGGCAAATGTGCTTCAGGTTCACATGAACCGAATTGTTTATCAGTTTCAGTATTTAAGAGCAAAAAATATAAATAACTTGAAATCAGTCTATTATTATAGTGTGATCATGTTTACAGAAGTTTCAATAAAATGTACATTCATAAAATATATGACTACTTGATTAAATTTTGAATTTTAATCTAAAGCGTAATAAATAATCTGAAGAAAATATTCAAATTAAAAAAAATCGTATTCATATCTCAGTTATGTAAATGTGAAGTCATACCTATGCATGAATTGTTCTCTTTATAATAATTAGGACAGCAATAAAGTGGCCTAAAAACAGAAGATGCATAACAACAGAAAAAAGGAAACGCAAAAAAAAGTAAATGTCTCGAGAAAGTCAATCTCCCTTTATCTTATATCTAATTTGCGATTAAATACAAAAATTTGCTTTCATGATAAAAAAAAATTAAATTAAATACCAGATTTACTTACGAATTTCCACAGATTCCTGTATTCATAATGTAGGCCAACGATTTGAAAGGTTTTAATGCAATCAACATAGAAAAATGAGTCAATGAGTGAATTGAAATGATCATATCAAAGACCATTGTTTTTCAAACATTTTCTCGTCCCATCTGTTTTCCTCTGCGGTCTTTGGAAATATATACCAGGGAGGACGGAAGTATACATTCGTCAAAAAAAGTTGTACTTTGTGATATGTATATAAAAATATTGCTATTTATGAACTTCTTTATAATATTTTTTACTGATTTCAAGACATCATAAGCTAAAACACAATACATACAGCCGATACAAAATATAACTATATGATTATATCGTCATTAAATTACTGCGTTGAATGATTGTGTATAATTTTGAAATTGAGAGAGCTGGTTATTATAATTAAACTTGTTTGAAATTAAGATAATGGAACTAGTCTGCACATGTTACCTCAAGTGCTTTGAATATGTTGAAGTATCTATCTGATAATGACTTGCATACATTTAGCTTCATCGTCCAACCCCACCTCATATTGCCGATTGATGTTCATGATTTGTACAGGTCTTGTGATGCAGATACCGCATTTCCTTTTCAATATAATAAATGTCAAATCAATTTAATATTGTTCAAAAGTTCAAAGTCCAAATAGTAAAGTCATTGTATGTTTTGTATGTTAAAATTGAAAGTCGATGCATCAGGTAAACTCTACATATTTCAGTTCTTTGTCTACATTTACGTCACCGCAACAAGAGAAACCAGACTTTCTTGTCACTGAATAAAATCTCTTTAGCAAGAAAAGTGATGATATTCCCCAGCATCTTAGATGCATTTAGGAAGACCATAAACTGAGAAAAGACTTAAGTCAATTATATTTAAATATATCTATTTGTTATAGAAGTTAACTCATTTAGAAGAATAACTTTTGTTTCAAGTGTTTCAAATTTTTCCTTACATAATTCAGGTTAGGCAGCTCCTTTTCTAACATTTATTAAACTGTGATACTGTTAAAGAATCTGCTAAAATTATTAGCAGATCGATTTACAGTCCGATTTCAATATTGAATGCTGAAAATTGAGCATGATTCGTAAAAAAAGTAAGTTATCCTTGTCCGTCAAATTAGATTGCTTAAGGTCGTTGACGTCAGGCTGCTGTATAAATTTATTCTCAATTGCGCCGGTTATAATTAATGTGAAAATGATACAAAACGGTATGTATCTCTCAGGTAATATTTTTTATTGCCAAGAAGGTAAAATATCTTATCTGATATAAACTGTAAGAGTTACTTTTCAGGAAATACTAAACGTATTAAGATTAGATCAGAAGATACTCTTCAAAATGAAATCAAAAAGGATTTTTCTTTTTAACATGCTAAACTAAACATTGCATGTTTTTCTCATAGCGTGTCGGCAAATACATGTAAGTAAAAGACATTTAACCATTCATTATGTTACTTTTTACAAGACATTGGAAACTTTTCACTTGAAAAATGATATCAGAGATAGATTCATAGAGGAGGGAGTATTTCCTGTCGACCGTTCACATCCGTCTTGTGCTTGTATTTATGATGGAGAAAAAACCCAGAAAAATCCATTGTGTATATCATGACATAAAGATTTGTTTAGATAGTCATAAGTCAGCATTTGACTTAATGATGAATTTTTTCTCATACGTGTGAATGAAACTACCCGTTAGATAAGCATATGATTTTTCCACCAGTAGAAGCTTTCAATAGCACTTCCGGTTTTAACACAATCCCTCGCTTCAATGTTTCATTTTATTAAAACTTTTATTCCTAAAAGTTCTTGCCCTTATGAAATGAGATATGTAAAGTTAGCTACTAGTAACTGGCTACTAGTAGCTGGCTACGACAAGTGGTAAAGTTACTACTAGTAGCTAGCTACGAGAAGTAAGTAAAGTTGGCTACTAGAAACTGGCTGCTGGTAGCTGGCTACGACCAGAGGTAAAGTTAGCTACTAGAAGCTGGCTACGAGAAGTAAGTAAAGTTGGCTACTAGTAACTGGCTACTAGTAGCTAGTTCGACAAATAGTAAAGTTAGCTACTAGTAGCTGGTAACGATAAGTAAGTACAGTTGGCTATTAGTAACTGCATGGCTACCAGTAACTGACTTGAACATTCTAGTACCTTTTGTATTAAATTATGCTAATTTGGGAGAAATTATCTGGAACTAAAGTTACCAAGATATCGTTATTAATAAACTCAGCTACTAGTACCGTAAAACGTGTGCAATTTTGGGAGATAAATGTTGTTATTATACAAGTAACTGGATTTTTACACCGCTGATATCCAATGATATTGTTGATAAAACAATCTCAGAGCTTTTCCACATGATTTGGCACTAAAGTAACCAAGATATCGTTATCAATAAACTCAGCTACTAGTACCTTTTGTTTAAAATTATGCAATTTTGGGAGACAAATGTTGATATTATAGAAGTAGCTGCATTTTGACACCGCTGATATCAACTGATATTGTTGATAAAAAAATCTCTGATCTTTTCCACATGATCTGGCACTAAAGTTACCAAGATATCGTTATTAATAAACTCAGCTACTAGTACCTTTTGTTTAAAATTATGCAATTTTTGGAGACAAATCTTGATATTCCAGAAGTAGCTGGATATTTAAACCACAGATATCAACTGATATTGTTGATAAAAATAATCTCTAAGATTTTCCACATGATCTGTCAGTAAAGTTACTAAGATATCGTTAGTAATAAAGTCAGCTACTAGTTCCTTTTGTTTAAAATTATGCTATTTTGGTAGACAAATGTTGATATTATAGACGTAGCTGCATTTTGACACCTCCGATATCCACTGATATTGTTGATAAAAACAATCTCTGAACTTTTTCACATGATCTGGCACTAAAGTTACCAAGATATCGTTATTAATAAACTCAGCTACTAATACCTTTTGTTTAAAATTATGCAATTTTTGGAGACAAATCTTGATATTCCGGAAGTAGCTGGATATTTAAACCGTAGATATCAACGATTTTGTTGATAAAAATAATCTCTACGATTTTCCACATGATCTGTCTGTAAAGTTACCAAGATATCGTTAGTAATAAACTTAGCTACTAGTACCTTTTGTTTAAAATTATGCAAATTTGGGAGACAAATCTTGATATTCCAGAGGTAGCTGGATATTTACACCGCTGATATCAACTGATATTGTTGATAAAAACAATCTCTGAGCTTTTCGTTATTAATAACGATATCTTGGTTACTTTAGTGCCAGATCATGTGGAAAAGCCCAGAGAATGTTTTTATCAGCAATATCAGTTGATATCAGTGATATAAAAATCCAGCTACTTCAAGAATATCAAGATTTGTCTCCAAAAATTGCACAATTTTAAACAAAAGGTACCAGTAGCTGATTTTATTACTACAGATATCTCGGTAACTTCAATGCAAAATCATCTGAAAAAGCTCAGAGATTGTTTTTATCAGCAATATCAGTTGATATCCGTGATTTAAAAATCCAGCTATTTCAAGAATATCAAGATTTGTCTCCTAAAATTGCACAATTTTAAACAAAAGGTACTTGTAGCTGAGTTTATTACTAACGATATCTTGGTGACATCAGCACCAGATCATGTGGAAAAGCCCAGAGAATGTTTTTATCAGCAATATCAGTTGATATCAGTGATATAAAAATCCAGCTACTTCAAGAATATCAAGATTTGTCTCCAAAAATTGCACGATTTTAAACAAAAGGTACCAGTAGCTGAGTTTATTACTACAGATATCTCGGTAATTTCAAAGCAAAATCATTTGGAAAAGCTCAGAGATTGTTTTTATCAGCAATATCAGTTGATATCAGTGATGTTGAAACCCACCTACTTCAAGAATATCAAAATTTGTCTCCGAAAATAGCATAATATTAAACACAAGGTACTAGTAGCTGAGTTTATTACTAACGATATCTTGGTAACTTTAGTACCAAATCATGTGAAATAGCTCAGATATTGTTTTTATCAACAAAATCAGTGGATATCAGCTGTGTAAAAATCCAGCTACTTCAATAATATCAACATTTTTATCCCAAACTAGTAGCTGAGTTTATTACTGACGATATGTCGGTAACTTTAGTGCCAGATCACCTGGAATGACTAAGAGATTGTGTTTAACAGCAATATCAGTTGATATCAGTGATGTATAAATCCAGCTGCTTCAAGAAAATTTAGGTTTGTCTCCCAAAATTGCAAAATTGTAAACAAAAGGTACTAGTAGTTTGTTAATAACGATATCTTGATTACTTTTGTGCCAGATCATGTGGAAAAGCCAAGAGAATGTTTTTATCAACAATATCAGTTGATATCAGCGGTGTAAAAATCCAGCTACTTCAAGAATATTACGATTTGTCTCCCAAAATAGCATAAAGAAAGTGGGCGCTTAAGATGGCAATTCGGCAGGAAAAGTGGCTCATAAAAAGAATAAAAAAATATCATTGATTTATACATTTTTTTCAAAACATAGCCAATGAATGTGTTGTGGGTGAATGTAAAATGGGCAAATATTCAGTTAAATATGTTTGATTTTATTTGAATATGCACCTGAATATAGCCGTATGAGTCAAATGATGCAAAAATCTACTCTTTTATAGGCATTTTTCATTAATTTCGTTGTTTCTGGGTCTTCTCTCCATGAATTTTAAATGTTATATCGGTGTATTCTTAACCGTAAAATTTATTCCAGTTGTTAAAAAAATGGAGAGACGACCCAGAAATACCAAAATCTAAACTTTTTCCATTTATTTTCTGGTAGAAAATTGACAAAGTCCAATTGTATAAGGCTTTGGCTTTAAATAATGATTTAAATGCTAGCTACGTATAGTGTCCCGCGGTAGCTACATTAGTTTGTCGCTGGATTCAAGCTATATCGAAGCAGCATTTTAGGTTCGAATACAGTGATTTTTACATTTTATTTTTTTTTAAAATCTTTTTGCTTATAATTTTTGAATTGGTACTGAAAGAAATACCCTTTGAATAAAGTTATTAATTATGTTTCATAAATTATTTAACATTAATTGTTTTATTTTTCAATGCGTTCACATTTTGTTTATTTATAGTGCTAACGTTCCCAAATAGAGATAAACATACATGAACTTGCAACTACAAAGTTA